CCCTTCCCTCTACCTTCCCCTTATTTTTTCCCGCACTTTCAGAGGGTTGCCTGTTCTTACAACGAGGTCTCATTGCTTAATGATTACACTAAATGTATATCCGGAAATCCTCTTTTCTTTCCACAGGTGATCCATGCAATAATAGCTTTTGTCTTAGCAATGGCACATGTCAGCGTATAGAATCCTGGCCGTACAGCCAATGTACTTGTGTTTCTGGATACGCTGGTTTTAATTGTGGAACCCACATAGGTATGAAATAGCAAAAATCAATTTACAACAGCATACGCAATACAGTCTATCCAGTGAACAAATACCCTTACCCTATCTGTACCTTTCTTTACTTGGGTGAAATACCATTGATCTAGAATGGGTTCCTAACAAGCTATTTACTTGTAGCATTTCTGGACTAAAAATAATCCTTTATAATGTGACTTGAATCAATACTCTGAGTCCCTTACCCAGCCAGGAACAAAGAGAGAGTGCAAACGTCTTAGTTCATCAGGCTTACAGAACCATGGAAAGTCGGAAAAAGCATACCCTGAGCATAAACTGATAAAGAGCTAGTAATTTTGTTTGCTATAACAAGCTATGAATTTCTTGACTTAATTTCTTACCATATCTTCAGTAGTTACTCAATCATCGAAAACAGTCATTTTTGCAACTTCCTTCACCCAAAACCATCATAATATACGACATTACCATCAAAATCACGTGTTCATTTTCTTCACAGGTGACCCTTACTACAACACTTCGTGTCCAAACGGTTGGACTTGTAAGCCAGTAAATAGGTCCATTGCTTTTAAGTATGATTCTACATCGGGAAAATACCTTTCTCTATCAGGTAATTTATCTTTCATTATCAATCTCGGAGGGCTTATATTAGGAGAGTTCTCTAGACACAATTTCTCTGAGCGAAATTTGTATCGTTATATTTCTTTTGAAGTTAATTTTCTTTGCATCCTTCTTTCCTATTACTTTTCTACAAGTCTATCACATGTAATTGTCCTGCAGGATTCTCTGGCTATTACTGTCAATATAAACGAGGTAATCTGAAAAATACTGGAGACCTTTAGATTTAAAGCAAGGAACCCATACGAGTTTAAGTTCTCAGCGAATAAACATATCTTTTGCAGTTATTTTTTTCGCATTCTTCTTTCCTATTACTTTCCTACAAGTCTATCACCGAAGAGTCAAAGGAAGATATGTCTGATTCAACAACAAGTAGAAGCGAACGCTTGTTGCAAAAAAAAACATAGTGTGAGTACATCGTGGCTAATCGTGGAATTTCCAACCCCTTTGTGTCTCTGACTGAGTGGTATTCATTGAAACAGGGCTATGTTTGAATGAATAACAGGACAAAAAATATATTGGACTCGTCCTTCCATTGGAAGATGATTTAAAGTAAAAATGGAACATACTTTTAAGAAAGACACTTAAACATATAATCTCGTGTAATAGATCAATATCAGACCCTTAACAGCCGACATATGTTTTCTTCATCAGGTCATAAATGCCAGTCTGGTCTATGTCAGAATGGAGGAACTTGCTCACAGGATAACGTAAATGAAATAACATGTAGTTGTCCTGCAGGAGTGTTTGGCTATTTCTGTGAATATACACAAGGTAATCTGAAATATATCGGAGACCTTTAGATTTAAAGCAATGAATATATACGAATTTAATTTTTCAGCGAATAAACTACTAGCAAAATCGTATTCCTTGCAACGCTGCACAACAGACTTTGCAAAGTTACCACAGCTAAAGTTATTGCAGAAAAAGAGTATATATCTTGCGAGGAGCGACTGAGAACCAAATGAACACGCATGTAAAGGATCTTGTGTGTGGGTGACGGCGTTGCCCAAATCCTGGTTGGCAAATTGCTTTTGTATCCTATTGACTCAAAACGTGGTGCGGTTTTTCTTATGAAACGGATGAAATGCGGCGGCGCAATTAACCTTTGATTATAAGTCCACTGAACTCTCTTTTAGTCGTATATGATACCCAATAGGACACTCTCGACGATTCGGCAGTTTAGACCATAGTAATCCTAGTAAGTGATTCAGTTGAAATCTCTTGATCGAAGTAGTAGTAACCGTGTCTAATTTTCACTCAAGTTTGGAAGTTATTTAAAAGCCGCATAAATATAACTAGTGTGATAAAACACTTCGTATCTCTATATCCTAGTATTCAAAAGTTATCCTTTTTTTCAACAGAAAATGTGTGTTCCGCCAACCCTTGTCTCAATGGAGGAACCTGCTCGCCGAATAATAACGCACTGGGTTTTGAATGCAGCTGCCGTTCAGGGTATATTGGATTTAATTGTGGCCTTCAAAGAGGTGACAGAGCTTTCTTAGTTATCAAATTCTGTCCGCTGTCCTTATTTGTATGATTCCTTTCAGGGCAAGAGCTCAATCGATCAATCAGTTGGTTACGTTTGGTGGAACCTATTATATTAATCTAATCCATCGGTCAGTCAGATTGTTTTTCTGTAAGCCAGTCAGTTACTCACTCGCTTACCCGCTGGCTCTCTCCATCACTATCTCATTCATCCCGCCAGTCTTTCGATGGGTCGGTCAGTCAATCAATCAGTCAGTCATTCAGTCAGTCAGTCAAACAACAAGTTAGGCAATCAATAAGTCTTTGAATCAGTAGCACATTAAGTATCTCATTCGTTAAGAAAGGTAAACAACCAACTTGTTAATGCCGGTCATTGGCATGGTCAGATTGATTTCTCAGACATCAATCAACTTACTGACAAATTAATAAATCAATCAATCGCTCTGTCAATCAATCCTTTACTAAATTTACTCACCAACCCTTTTGTTTACAAGGTTCCTTTTCGAAAAATTTACAAGTAGCCTCAAGTAGCCTTCAAATTGCCTTTTTATACTAAGTTTACATAAAAGATAGAGGGCATTATAGCTTGATAATATGAGATTTAACTCTTTAATTACAGAGTTGTCGAAATGTATGGTCTGCAATTAACTTAGTGACATATTTCAACAGACAATCCGTGTTCAGATTCAGATAACCCTGAACCTTGCAAAAATGGCGGAAACTGTACGCAGCAGGATACTGCCTTGGGATACATATGCAAATGCACATCGGAGTATATTGGGTTTAACTGTGGCTTTCTGAAAGGTGATACATATTCAAAAAATGTATTCTATCTTAAAGGAAACCTCAAATAATTATAAAAAAATATATTTATAGTGAATAAAGAACTCAGTGAGAGAAAAATCGAAACAGACATAGACTGTTTTCAAACTAGAATTCTGCGTGTGTTGCCATGTTGAATCGTATGACGAGTCACGGTTGCTACTATCATCGTTATGATCTCATTGTTTTGTTGATGATAGTAGCCACCGTATCACGCAATATGAGCTAAACCTTAGCCATCCGGCAAAATTGCATGACGTGGATATCGATATTTTTCTCTAAGAAAAGAAATTTGTCTAAAAATCTCGTTTACTAGTGGGGATCTCCTTATATATTTATTTCAGTCTGTTTTGAATCCAACTTGTGTTAAGTCAAGAACTGCAAAACCCTTTCCATGCCAAATCTAACCAGTTGGTTCCGTCGTTTCTTCTTCACTAACACTGTGTTGTTACGTCTTCACAGACGATCCTTGTTTTCCTAACCCTTGTCGAAACGGTGGAAATTGCTCTAGAGACATTAGTCTAAAGGATTTTATTTGCAATTGCACCTTTGGATTTATTGGTAAAAGATGTGAGAGCAAGATAGGTAAGTTTGTCTTGTACCACTGCGGTGTTAATTATACAATGGCACCTTAATTGGCAATGACAATAGGAATGGTGCCAATTTGGTCCCTAGTCAAACTCAAAATTAATAAAAGCGGACGACCACAAAACGTCCGCTTATTAAACGAGCAAAACTATAAAAAAAAAAATACAAAAAAAGTGGCCTTCGATTAAACGTTTTCATTAAGCAAAACAGAGAACTCGGGGAAATGAACATTTTGATTTGAATAATATGCGTGATTTTGAATTGAATGAGCGTGCAGTCCGAGTCTGATTTAAAATCAAAAGCATCATTTCACACCAAAATTGCATAACACGACGATCAATTACCACTTAATTGCATCGATTCTGAAATCTCAGAATTCGATTGCTCATATACAGGATTTTTTTGGTTCCTACAAATAATTACTGATCCAGTACTGATCTGGTTTAAAGAAAAATTTTTCTAAAGTTTTTGTCAATTTTTACCTCTACAATTGCAAAGACGCGATCAGACTGGCCGAGCGGAACCAACTGTGATGTGCATGTAGCACCTTTCATGGGTGATCAAAATAAACCCTAACATCGGTATGCATATCCTTCACAATGTTCTCTTCTCATCTCCTGTGGCACCGAAAGGAGAAATTGTCTCAAGAATTAAGAATCGTTTGCCTTATTCTTATTGCTTGCATGTGTGATCCAGTGATAAGACTCTAGGGCGAAATTATATGTTCGTCACTCCTGGTTATTAAAGGTTAAGGGCTTTTGAAGTCATTTAGGCAAACATTCTTCCACAATTGGTTAAAATCTTACGAGTTGGAAGATGCGAGGGTGGAAGGAGAAATATCGTCAATTTGCCTTTAACATCATACCTTGTTTTTATGTAGTTCATGGGAATTGGAGTCGCTGGACACCATGGCCGAACTGTAACAAGCCGTGTAATAACGGAACACGAACAAGGAGGCGTGCATGTGATAACCCAAGGCCCGCTTTTGGTGGGAAAAACTGCACAGGGTTAACCTATGAGTCTGGGCACTGTAACCAAGTTAAGTGTCCAGGTAGTAGATTTCTTAATCTTTTCTTTTTCTTAGCATGTAAAGTGTTGCACCCAGAAGCTCAAAGGTCAAACCAGGTTACGAGAAATAAATGGAGGTCACTTTTCCTACTAGATTAGAGGACAATTTTGTATCTGTTTTAGTGGCATGTAAGGTTCAGCTGTATTGTTTCCATGCTGAGAGTTTCTGTAAATCAATCTGGTTTGCACGGGCGGCCCCTACAGCATCAGATATTTATTATGAAGAACAACAACAAAAAAACTTCTGCTCACTTCTCTTCTCTTTTCAGCCGAGAGTGTAAAATACAAGATTAAGTTAAAAGGTGAAACATGGAAAGATTCTCTTGCGGTCCTAGGAAGTAAAAAAAACGCGGAACTTGCGGATAGAATAAAAGAAGCTGTAAATATATCACTTTTATTGTTTCTTTTCGTCGTTTTTTGATTTTTCAAATGAGTTGAATTTAATTCCGTTAGCTTTTGATCATAGATGGCCCAGAAAAAGTGTCTTTATTGTTTTCTCCTTTAGGTTGAGGACTTTTATCACAAGAGGAATGAGAATGTTGAAATTGAGGAGCTAAAGTTCGAGTAAATCCTTTCTTTTAGATAAGTAGTCTATTTTTACCTCTCACAGCAGTGCAATTCATCTCACAATGAATTTCCCTGCACGTTGTTTAGGATCGCCAGAATCCGTTTTTTAAAAAGATTCGACTTTGCAATCTTAATCGAATCTATCATTTCTTACAGGAAAGGAAGTGTAATTTGTAGTTTAAACGTCACCTACAAGAGCATAGACTCGTTACAGATCGTCTCTTTCCTGGAGGAAATAGCAGAAGGATTACTGGGGGACATTCCAGTTGAGTTAGACAAGATCGAAACCAGTAACGGTATGCATAGCAAAGTTTATCAGCCAGAGTGAGTAAGAATTATCTGTGTCTGTGATAACGAAGGACGCATTCTTAGATTTAGCGTGCATTTAATAGGGCAGCAGCCACCTGCTTAATGATGACGTCTGCGATCTATTACTGAACCATGGCAAAATGGAATCTTCGTGTATAATATGATAAGGAAGCTAAAGATCGTTAATGGGGACGTCATGTACGCTTCTGTCCTCTAATAAATCATAAGGACCAATCGAAATGTATGTTTATTTCACCTGGTCACATAATTCTTGTTTTTTTTTTCTCTCCCAGTACCCCAAAAAGCTCCTGTGGATTTGGAAACCAAAAGCTCCAAATCGACAAGTATTGTCATAAAGTGGAGGCAAAATCACTCCGACCAAACTCTGGGTAACATGATCGTCTACAAAGAAGCTAACAAAAAGTTCAAGGCTAACACAATGAAGTCAGTTCCACTCAATACATCTGAAGCGATACTGGAGGATTTAAAAAAATTCACAAATTATACCATCCGTGTGTTTGCCTTTTCGAGTAAAGGTAATGGGGTGCCAAGTGATGCTGTTACCGTAAGAACTCATGAGGATGGTAAGTTCAGGAAGATAGGACTATGAAGAACTTTAAAATTTCTTTAAGATATATATATTTTTAATGAACGGATTTGATGTCTGATAGTAGACTAAGAGATCTGCGTATGCGGCTATAGTTTGCTGAGGGCAGCTATTCCTTTGGTTTTTGTTCTCTTGGGTTGGTACACTATGAAAGACCAACCATTGAAAGGTGTTGTAGAGAACAATACTCGACCACACCGTGACTTGAGTTGATATAGTAAATTGGCCAGTTCTTACAGTGACAGCAAAGTTTTTAAAAGTTGACGTTTCGAGCGTTAGCCCTTCCTCAAACTGCTCTGACGAAGGGCTAACGATCGAAATGCCACTTTATGGTGGCCAATTTTCGTTATCAACTCAGTTGATAATACTATATTACCCTGTTATACTCTCCCACCAACGCAGCACCTCAGTTTCTTTAGAAACCTACCCCTTTTATTCATAGCAAGACTTGCGATAAAGGTTAGAGCATTGAGATTCCGGACCTTTTTCAATAAAAATATGATAACATATTTATGATTTGGGTTAAGCCATAAATTATTAGTCTCTTAAGGAAGGAAAACAGAAGTCTGGAAACTAGTATACCTAAAGATGAAAAACGACTGGGAATAGCGACACCTAAAAAACTTAGGATATCCTTTTTAAGGTACACGGACTGTGATAGACTCCTTAAAAGAATTAGGATAGTCTAAAGAAGTAGTTCCATTGTAATTAATCTGGTATAGTTAATACAGTAAAAAAATGTAATTGTATTTGAAAGTTGTAATGATATGTGTTTGGAATGCTATATGTTTTAAATATAAAGTACAAATGGTTTACAGTGGTCATGAAACAAGGAGACAATTCAGAAGAAGCCGTACGCCTTCTTCTTCGAAAGGCCTCATGCCTGGAAGCCTGGTGAATTCACAATGGGGTAAGAAGAGGGGTGGGGGGGGGGGG